TGAAATTCATATTTATTTTTTTAAGTCAAGACACGATGAGATTGTGTATAGAAGATGCCGCATTGGACACATGAGACTCACGCATGAACATTTACTCAAAGGAGAAGAACCCCCAAAATGTCTATATTGCAACAACAACAAAAAAAAGCAATCTGTGAAATCTGAGCCTGTTCTTTCAACCTTAATATATTGTTTTTGTTTATTAGCGTTTTCTCCAAGAGTATATAATGAGCTCAGCATTTTTGAAGATATAGATAATTAATAAATTATTATGAAAATAAATGGGGCACATGCACACAAACTTTTAATTTAAGCAATTCTGTGAACTTTAATGCCATTACAAAATTGCAGCATTTAAGATGTAATTTCTGTTAAAAATCTGTGATATTCACTGCCTGATTGCTATAGTATATATTGAAATCAAACCAAACAAGGAGCACTGAACTAAATTCCATTGTTCCGTGGCGTGTCAAATATGGACATTAATTTTACAATGAAGTTTCCTGCTGTTCCTGATGGCACTTGTTTACCTGGTCTTTTATCTCATTTTACGCTTGAACAACTAAATGAAAGCTTAAATCCATTCATCTGATTATATTTTAATTACATTACAACATCTATGCTGTAAAAGGATCCTTACGAATTAGAAAATAGTTACAAACCTTTTACTAGATGTTTATTGCTGCCTGAAAAACACTTGCTGTGCATACAGCCCATTAGTTAGATTTTATTCAACTAAATCAAAGATTAAAGAATACACAAGACGTGTCACTCGTATAGTTTTGAATGGGGAAAGTTGTAACGATCAATATGGCAAATGAAGCCCCGCCTAATAGCACAGGAGCCAATCATTAATCCAGGGGAAAAGCTCGGAACAGACATGTGCTTTTACGACAATTTGGTGCTCAACAAATGCACTGGAATCCCAGCAAATACTTTCTTCACAGTCATAAGAAATATATCCAAAGCTTGAATTCTCCACTTTTAAATGAACCAAGTGCACTTGAAAACGTTTTTTAGTTTTGTAATTTGTATGAAACGAACGTGAGGTACAGTCTGTTCTCTCAAACGCACATCGCATGACAGCAATTACTCAAACACCCACAAACTAGTAAACAAAGAGTCATTTCTGGAAGAGATTTACTATCAAGACCAAGTTGTGGATTACTTTAAATAACTAACACTATCAGATAAAGCATTATCCAGAGGATTATAATTTGTAAAACGGCCATAAATGAGGTTGGTGTTTTGATCTCAGAATTTTTTGAGTGCACATTAGCTTGGGCAACCTGAAAAATTGCCAGTTTAGTTAAGAAACTTATGAGACAGTTTAATTTTATTTATGATTCCAAATATAAAATGTAATCGTAAGCTTGGCAAAAAGTTTTTGGGAATTTGTTGTTTCCCTATTCAGACAGAATGGCCGAGCAAACTGCCCAAGAGATGCTTCAAAGATGGCCGCCGAGAGAAATGACTTGCCTTAAAGGAACTTTAACTAAAATCTACTAGAGTACATTTATTTGACTAAAACTGCAATGAATTTGTGACAGGACTGAAAATAAATGCCATTTTAGTCAAGATACTAAAACTAAATCATAATTATATGTTAGAATTCACAGAAAGAATCTGTGAATTAAGCAGGTAGTTTACCGCTCTAATCAGTGAATTAACCTGAGAAAGATGCAGTTTGTAATTTTACTGAAAGACATGTTACAGCATGCATCTGTATTGATATTACAGATCTGTACGGAGGTTTTGGAAGGCCTGCAAAACGGCAGCCTCGGAGAAGCTAAAGAAACTGCCGAGTCATACAGAGCGGAGTGTAATAAGATCTACCCCTATACGCTGGCCTTCATGCCTCCGGGCTACGAGGAGAACATGAAGATTGCGGTCAATGGAGACGTGTCCACAGAAACCGAGGAGCTGGCCAATGACATGTGAACATTTTGAAGAGGGCGAAAGACTGAGGGAGGAGGAGGAGGTGGATAGGCGAAGCGGTGCTGTGCGGCAACACCACTCTCCAACACCCAAGACGGTTGCCACTGACTATTGTTTTGCGATTGTGCGAGGAACTTCCTGCGATCTTCTACGCCCCCCAGAAATTGCGGTTAGGACAGACAGACAATGACTGTGTTTTGGAATGGAGAAAGAGGAAGAGGGGCTGGGCGGGAGATAAGAATGCCCATTATACTTTTTTAACCTTGCTGATGACTACTCTCTAACTGAAAACTAGTCAAACATGCATCCCATTTTGAAATACAGTATGTCTGAATGCAAACTTTGTGCAATGGCGAGAGCAAAATCCCATAGTCAACAAAACAAGCAAGAGAAACGCACTCAAACCCATCTTTCCCCTGTTTTAAAGAGTAATTTATATGAAAAAAATAAAAGCTTAAAAAGGATGTGTTGTGCTGAAGATCTGCTTTCAGTTGCTGTGAAAACGCAGTGGACATGGTTTAGGGAACGGGCTTGTCGTGGACGGGAAGTGATGTCGTAATGGGGAAGCAGCATATGTAGAGGCTCCTTACTGCCTTTCTCGGAGAACAAAACAAAAATGATGGAAGAGGCGGTACTCAACTGCAGGAAACTGATCGAGAGCCTGTGAAACCTTTCTGCTTTACCTTGCCTCATTCTGTCACTGTCTGATAGAATTGGGCTACAGTGTTCAAAGAAAATTTGTATTATAAAGATTTTTTTTTTTTGTAATAAAAAAAATCAAACATTGAGAGCACATTTGACCGCAGTACGCGCACACCACTGTTCCTTCTCATGGACGTTGGCAGGGTCTTCAAAAAAATGGCAGATATGAAACTCAGAAGTGCTTATTAGCAAAGCCGGTGGCCAAAAGGTGAATTGCAACCTGGAGCTTTTAGCTTGTTTGTACTTGTGCGTTGAGTGAGTGATCGGCATGACCCACGGCATATGCCTTTGCTCGTAGCCATGCATTTATACTTTCTTCATGCTGTTTGTGTTGCTCTGCATTAACACTTCCGAAATGCTAGCTGGTAGACGGTTATTTTTTTCTCTGTGTCGAGTTTCTTTATGGGTGTTTTGTTTTTTTTCTGAATGGTACCTTAATGTACAAGTAGCTAAAAACTCGCTCATTCAGAGGCAAGAACCGACGGACGCACAACAACTTTAATCATAAGGTTAATACAAAACAACAGCTTCCATCTGGAACCCCGTCATGGGATACGACACTTGTAAACACTCACTCTATTGGGCTCGCAGCAAAGGCTGAGCTGGACCATGCACGTTCGCTTGAAGCAGAAGTATAAAGCATACCCCTCGCACACCTCAAAAATATGTAACTACACTTCTGAACGACATGTGGCTCAACCTCTGTGATTGGTTGGCTTGGTAGGTGTGACAAGTGTGGGCCATGCTGAGAGCTTTGAACCCGTTGAAGGGATTGTCGAGTCGCCGGAATGAGCTCCAGATGGAAGCTTTTGTTTTGTGTTTACCTTATGATTAAAGTTGTTGCAGGTCTGCCGGTTCCAGCCTCTAAATAAGCAAGCTTAAGCTACTTGTTGTGTTCAGAATAAACAAAACGCCCGTAAAGAAAACTCAAAAACAAAGAAACATTTAAACTTCCTGCCTGCTAGCGTTTCAAAACTGTTATGGCAGAGCAACACAAACGGTGTATAAAAACAGAAGTATAAATTCAAGACTACACGCAAGGTATGAACCGTAGGTCAGGCCGATCACTTGACGCAGAAGTCTAAACCAGCCTTACCCTTAATTAGTCAGCAATCGGCTACGATCTGAGCTGGGGTATTTGCATAACGCAATTTAATTGGCTAATGCTTCTGTTGGCGCTTAAAAAGTTGGCAAAGTCCCAACTTCTGTAGCAAGCAACGCCACATAAGCGACACCAACAGATCCACAATGCAGTTTGGCATCGCCTGACATCACCCATTCCCAAATGAATTGGAAGCATTGAGTTTGACACTCCATGTGAATGGTGCATGAAGTCAACCTTTATTGCTCATGCACAACTTTGATTTAATAACTGTTTCCATACACCTTTTTTATGTGCATTTTGAAGTATCACATAAAATAAAGGCTTAATGGAAACATGGGCATTTGTTTTGAAAATGCACATAAAAAGCTTATTTGCACAACTGAGTAGGACAAACTTTTATCCAAATTTTTTCCATCCAAATCCATTTTTTTTTCCGATAAGAAAAGATGTGCATAAACTGTGATGGAAACTTGTATAAATTCCAGCATGCGCATTAAAAAAAGTTGATTTTGTTTTAACAAATTATGTGATAAGAATGGGCACAATGGGACTGCATTAATGGAAAAATGACTGGACCAAACACAATGCACATCTCACATGTTGTTTCAGATGTCAGTCCGACATCAAAGTGAGCTGTCTTGAGCAGCTGCACTCCCAAATAGCAGTCTGATGCCTCTAAAAGCCAGTACGACTATGTTCATAGTGTTTTGTCTTTTGCGGTGTAGGTAATTTACTATTTAAGAAAAAAAAAAATGCAGCTGTAATTGTTCTAAGATATTTATGTTTACCACTGTTGACTCCAGGAAGACTGAGTAATGAAATGAAGACAGTCATCCTCAACCTGAGGGATTGCCAGATGATGAGACTCCAGATGTTTTGTTAGTCCTTTACATCAAAATCAAACTCGTATAAATGAAGAGTCCAAAATTGGAATTTTACAGCAATGCAGTACTATTGGTTACCTAAAATAATCATTTTTTGTTAGTGAACTGAATGTTTTAATTTGAAGCAGCCCTGTCCTAACTCAGTACTGGAGAGAAGTCATGGTGCCCTCCCTGAGAAAGTTTGGAAATCCCATAGAACCTTTTACACTGAATAATCTTTTTTTTCCATGGAAAAACATTCATGGAAAAATGTCCATGGATGTATTAAAAAATATTTAACATATAGCCAGTGACTTTTTACAATTTTATTTATAAATACATGCACATGCTTTTACAACCTGTGAAATCTGGGACAGTTTGATGTTTCCTTTCAACTTTACATTAGCAAACTAATTAAAATAAATAATTTAGACATTTTTACAAACAAATTTTAAGCTTACCATATTCCTCATGTAAAATGTAGCCTAGTATGCAGTTTTTTTTCTCATTACAAGCTATTTGCTATTGAGAAAGATTTGAAATAGTGCTGTGGGTTGTTTTCTGGTTTCTGTCCAAGCTCGATGTCAGACTTCCCTCTTAGCAACGGAGTTTAACACTTATTAGGCTGTACATGAAAACATACACGATGTTCATACATAAACTGGAATGCATCTGAGTTATGTAAAAAAAACTAAATTAACTTAAATTAGCTTACCCTATTTCAGGTTATGTTAAGGTGGATTTAGAAAACGACTCTCCTGTGGGGTAATTAAGGGGAAGTTGTAGTCAGTAAGCGTCTGTCATGGGCATGTGAGCAGTGCTCACTTGGTCCTCTGAACCTTAAACATCCAACCATTTTGACGTTAATCCCTCAGCAGCGGAGCAGTCGATGGATTCGTCTTTAGAAAGCTCCAGCTCCTCTAACGGCCCCCCGACGCGCTGCTGTCGGACCTGTAAGATCATCGTGATCGGGGATGCCGGTGTGGGCAAGACCTGTCTGACACATCGATTCTGCACCGGACAATTTCCTACCAGAACAGAGGCGACCATCGGGGTGGATTTTCGAGAGAAACTTCTTCAGATAGACGGCGAAAAAATAAAAGTAAGTCTTTTAATGGTTGATATGATTTTAAAAGTCATCTGTACTGAACCTTAATATTGATATGCTATTTGCAATTATTCGCGAATATAATTAAATGAATAAATAACATGAATATCACAGAAAAGTTTTTTCCATGATAATTCCCAATTGTATTTTTATTCTGTTTTGAAAAGTCCCGATCGTACAAAGAGACCTATGTCAAAAATGTTTTGCAACATCTGCAATTAAAAATGATTTATTTTCAGTCTATAAATCGACGTCTCTGTTGCCTATAGGAGTGTTGCCAACTTAGCAATTTTGTTCATTTTTAACTATATATAACTACAAAATTAGCCATTTTCAACACTCAATTGGCTACTTTTGGCAATTGTTTTCAAAGTGGCTCAAAAGAGCAGTGTCTGCAGGATTCACTAAGTAGTAAATTGCTAGCTCAGATTGTTTTTCATAACTGAATTTACTGATATTTGTTAACATGTATAATTGTTAATAATTTAAATAGTAATAAATTCGAATAGTCCTATAATTGTTGTCACTTTCACGAATGTGTTAATTTCACACGTTAAAAAGAGAAAGTACACAATCTTATTGTTTAAAATAATACTACTCACTATCAAAATAAACTATTCATTATCAGTGTATTATTTAAAAATAAAAGATTCTTATCAAAAAGTGTTTGTATTACTTTTACAAATAGTCAACTTTATTTTTCATACAAATCTAAATTGACATATTTTAAGTAATGTTTTTGTTGAGATGGCCAGTCAATCTGAGAAAACCTTAATTGTTTTATATACAACATAAAGATGTAGTTTAAAGATGCGATTACGCAATGACGTCATCACGCAAAGTAATATGTTAATAAGAACCTATTTATTGTGCATCTGGGTGTAATCTTTTTAATGTGATATAATACACAGCGCCTCAATAGAGAGATGACGGGCTTACGCTTGTCAGATATTACTGGATGACGTCAATGATATGCAAATTAGTGTGTGACGTCTTCTGACAACATTTTAGCTACTTTTCACTCGAAATAGTTGGCAACACTGCTGAGTACACAATTACTCGTATTTTTACGCGTTCTCTAGTTAGCCTGTTTAATTAGCCTAATTCCTGCCAAACCTAATGAATATGTTTATTTAAAAATACCTAATTAATTTTACTTGTGAACCAAATTTATCTGTTGTCTAATCATAAATCAACATTTACCTTAAAGCCTACTGTTTAGATTTTTGAGAAGATTTTGCCTGTGAACCCCATAGAGGAACAATAGCAGAACTGGGGATTTCACCGTGTTATTGAGAGATTGCTGCACTTACAACAAAAGAGGAACTGGACTTCTCTTTTGAAGAAGAGAAGCTCAGACACTTTCCACAAATAATAAACAACACTTGCATTATGACGAGCATTTAGGCTACATAATATACTTTAGTCTGAAAAGTTAATATTAGACGGTGGTCCATCCATGATGCTTGTATGCTTTCGTCCAGAGGCAGATTATTTATTTTGAGGCCCTGAGCAATTTCAGGTGTGTGGCCATAGCATTAAAACTCTTTCTTTAAAGATATTTCTTTCCTCTGTAGATTCGTGTTTTTTATTTATTTTTTTAAAATAAACTGCATATTAAAAATATATATTTTAAGTGGAACCTTTATTTTTTTCATGTAAAAATAAATGCAGTAATCTTTTTTTAAAACTCCACAAACAAACTATATGTACAGTAATGCCATATTTGTGCATATGCCATATTTGTAATAAGATTTTAATAATCACATGTGCAGTACGAAAGACACATTATTCATACAAAGTAAATATTGCTGTGTTGAATAAACTCTTAAAGAGTTCAATTTAACACTGCACGTGAGTGTATTTGGTCCCACTCAGAATTGGTGTTAAATTAACACTTTTTATTGTGGTATATTTTCAGAGTAAAATTAACTCAATTTTGAGTTAAAATTTAACACTGGTCAACACTGAAAATTGTTAAGCTGTTTTACTCTATAGAGAAATTACTCTGACTGGTGTTCCTTAATTTAACAACACACAGAAATTAACTCAGGTTAAATATTAATACATCACTAATAAAGAGTCAATTTACAACCCATATGGTGTTGCTTTACTGTCATTATTTCACTCTGGTGCAATTCTTTAATGCTACTGAACATAGTAAAATACATTAAACAACAAATAAAACAAAAAACCAAACTCAATATCAGTTAAAACTTTTAAACAAAAGAATCGTTTAAGAATGACCCATCACTACATGTCACCACTGTTTACCGGGTGAAAACACAAAAACAAGCAACTTGATCGTTTTAAAGCCGTGAAGATGAGCTGGCGTGTCTATGGGCACCATCAAGATTAAAATTCAGTGATGTTAATCCTCGACCATCAAAATTAAAATATACAGATGTTGATCCTGGACCATCAAGATTCAAATTCACAGATGTTGATCCTGGACCATTAAGATTCAAATTCAGTAATGTTGATTCTGGACCACAAAGACTCAAATTCATTGTTGTTGATCCTGGACCAGCAAGATTTAAATTCACTGATGTTGATCCTGCACCAATGAGATTCAAATTCACTGATGTTGATCCTGGACCATCAAAATAAAATATACAGATGTTGATCCTGGACCATCAAGATTCAAATTCAGTGATGTTGATCCTGGACCATCAAGATTCACATTTACTGATGTTGATCCTG